CACTCAGCAAGTTATCAAGCAGGCCCAGTTTTATTCTTCCCTCTGATTTTACCTGTACCCAAAACTTATTCACTTAGTCTCCCAGGACTGTTCATTTCTGTGCGTGTGAAATGAGTTTTAGAACTCTTGAGCAAGCCCCCATGTGTCACTTCACTCCCACTCATTCCAAGCTCTGCCTACACTGGTGCCCAGCAATGAGCTCGGCTACAGTGCCAAGAGCCAAGTAGGATTAGAAGAAGGCAAAGCCTGCTGCTGTGGTACACTGAAAACCAAAGGATATTTTAACAAGCATGCTGGAACCACATGGCCAATCACTAGTAACATACAATTAGAATCTGTATCTTAGGGTCCTTTATCATGGCCTCTATTGTTTCACAAAAGGAAAAGTTGGAGAAGAGGGAGACAGAAATTTCACTATGAGAACCATTAGAAACACAATGGTTTGGGAAGCTCCACCCATATTTCTTCATGGTCATGGCCAGTGAAAGTAAGGTATATGTGGTAGTTATGTTTGTGTGTCAACTTGGCTGGGCCTGATTGAGTGGCTAGGCAGCTGGTGGCAGTTATTCCCCATGATGAGACTGGCAATCAACTCCATGGTGGGATCTGCCACAAGCAGCTGAGTACTGCTTTTGGGATGTGGTCTGCTTCCTGTATATAAGAAGCTTTGGGAATGGTCTCTAGCCTATGGTGTGCTTAGATCTTGTATGCAGCTGTGTCATTGCTCAGCAGCCTGCTATGCTCTGCTGACCTTGGGACTTAAAATGGTCTTAAATTAATGACCTGCCGTGTGGTTTGATAATATTGGAACTATGCCTTTTTACTTGTCAACCTTGGGCTTTGGCAGCCTCAGCAGCCAGCAGCTGCCTGAGTGAAGAAACACCTCTAGCTCCAGTGGGCTGGGAGCAGTAGGCAGAGCTGGATCTCAAGATTAAGGGGCTTTCACGCAGCCCCTAGAGGAAGGCACTTTTAACTTGGACTTAAAGCCTCCAAACTGTTTGTTAAGGTCATGCCATTTGTGGTATATTCTTGTCAGAGTGGTACTAAGTAACCAGAACAGTTTATTATTGAGTATTCAGCATGCTTGCTACAATCCCCGATCTTTCTAAAACAGCTGTTTCACTGAAGGCTAGATGGATTTGCCTGGACAAGCAGTGTTGCTACACAGTTTACTGCGGCAAGCCACTCCTCTTCATAAATCCTTTTACAAAGTTACTAAAAAGCCTTTCAGGAACTATGTGTCATAGGAATACACCTCGGCTTAAAGAGTAGGCATTTCATATTAACTACACATAAAAGAGTAAACCACATCATTAAATTCTTTACTTTAAACCTTTCCCAGTGATTGGGAGCCATTTACTCCTTTCAGAAATTAAGTTTCACACAGACTTGCAGAACAGAAAAAAATAAAAGGCACTCCAGAAATTATAAGGAGATCCCGGATAGCCTGCTTCCAAAGATAGAAAAAATTCTGTGAGAATAGGGAAAGATTAAAAGAAGGAAAAGCAAAAATAAATCTGCCAAAACATTCCATTTATGCCAGTTTGTCCAAGGTCTCTTTTTTAAAAGCAATGATGTTCCTGCAACTTGTGATGTGCCCATAAATAAAAGGGCAGAGCACAGCTGTGTTTAGGTATTGTTAAATACCTCAGGGTGTGAGGCTGCTGCCGGTACCTAGACATCCCAGCCATACTAACCTCTTCAGAGTCTAGGATGGTGCATCTGCTTGGCTCTACAAAGCAACCAGCAGGAGTGGCAGCAGATGCCATTGTAGCCAACTTCATTTTCAAGTCATAATGGGCCTCAGGGGAAGAGCTAAATATAGGAGGAGCCAGGGCACAGTTCACAGCTGTACTGGAGAAAGAGCAGGGAGGCTGGCCAGCAGTTTTATTCTCCCTCTCCTGGTTACCACTCTTGCCCACGGCCTGAGTCCATTAGCCGGCACAATACTATTCTCCTCAGAATCAAAGAACATTAAAGTGACCTTAGGGATGCTGCCTATTCCTTCATTTTGCAAGTAAACAAACAGAGGCTTTACAGAAGCAGGGGAAAGCTGAGGGTGGAATCTAGGCTTTTCTGACTCTCTGAGCAGTCTAGGAGGCAGCTATCTGACTTGTTCACATATGCACAGCAAAGCCCACAACCAGAAAACAAACCCAGTGTCACTGCACAGCCAAAGGATATATCTACATCCATTCACTACCATTCATACACAGAGCATCTACCCAGATTCTTGTTCGCAATTTATTTAACTTGTTTCTCGCTCAAAACAACAAAAAGTTGGATTATGTCATTTCCAAATCCTGCAAAATCATAAATAGCAAATGAGAGTAGGTAGAGCAAATAGGCCATCAGCAGAGAATTGTTTAAAATGATCAGTAAGCGACAGTTTAGAGTTTAAGAAGAAACCTACAAAAAATAGTCAAGAAAAATAACAGAATCCAACAACCTAAAACTATATCTTAGAACAGATTTTCACAACATAATGAGTTAAATGGTGGTGACTTTCAATATACAACACATTAACTTTTCCTCCATATACTTTTAGAAGTCAGAGAAGGGTCATAATACACTTAAGGAGGCCACAAGAGTGCTAATGAGATGCTGGCACTAAGTATTTGCATAAATATACCCATATAAATATGTATGTGTACATGGACATGCATGTGTTTATGCGTGTATTTCTTAAGTCATAATATCTTAAAGGGTGAATCACAAACTATTTACAAATTTCAGCTAGCCAGAATGACTCACACCTGAAGATTTTAAAGCACAATATTTTAAGAAACTTTATTTTACTGCTAGCTTTGGCTGCCATGGCTTTATCAAGTAAAATTCTTAATTAGAAAGTCTATTTCCCATGTTCCCCCTTTTCAAAAATATCAAGTTCCACTTAAAGACCACCCTTGAACAATGTTTCGTAAAGTGCTGCCCCTAGGTGAACAGTTATGAGGGCCATTAGTTACCTGCACAGCACAAACAAGAAAGAATGTCCAACGTCCTCTGATTTTACTGTCAGGGATGGTATCACTCACAGTAGTGATGAAATCATGCCAAACAAAAGCGCTGATGGAGATTTGAGTTGGAGGGAGGGAGACAATGGTAAACCAAGACCTGTTACTTCAATTCCATTATTTTATTATGTTATCAACATTGGATATGCATAGGGGGAAGAAAAAAAAAAACCAAACTCACTGCCATCAAGTCAATTCTGACTCATAGCGAACACCATTGTATTTCTGAGGTGGTAAATCTTTACGGAATTAGATTGCTCCCATCTTCCTTCCACAGAGAGGCTGGTGGGTTTGAACTACCAATCTTCTAGTTAGTAGTCAAATGCCTTAGGGACTATGCCATAAGAATTTCCTGATGTCTGGGTTATCTGCCCCCCCTGCCCCCGCCATACTCTCTCTCACAGAAGGAAAAAAAATAACTAGATTCAAAGAAGATTATATGCAAACATTCTAAAGACAGAAATCAATACAACATAAGCTCAAAGTAAGTCAATTTGCAATTATTCACATGAGTGTAGAATCCCTTATTCTCTAAGGAATAAGAGAGGACCTTACAAATCTGTTTAAGCCCAAGTGGGGAAAGTCAGCCTCCTTAGGTGTTCTGGGAGTAGAAGGAAGGGTACTACGTGAAGCTGGAAACTGAGGAATATGGTCCTGAAAAGTGTGCCATACTATAAGCAGGGGAGACAGATGCAGGAAGAAGACAGTAAGAGATACTTGGGCTGTTTTTTTGGAAGAGTCACCAACCAATGTGTGAAACCTGTTTCTTTGTAGTCTCTAAAGCACCATAGATCCTCATTTCCCTGAGATAATTTAGGGTACTTTGTAAAGGCTGAGGATTCAAACACATGACTTCTGAAGAATGTTATCTTTCAAGACTAAAGATAAAAATTTTTAAATAATTTATTTTGCATATTATTTTAAAACTTCTAAAATAACACCACTACAATTATTTTTATCTTAATTTTTAAGTTAAAAATTAACTGAAGGAAAATTAAAATTTGTCTATTATGCTAATTCATGCATTGTTTCAACAAAGATTTATTTAATGCTTCCAATACATACAAAAATGCAGTGAGAGTTGTGAAGACATGAAATTGAAAACAGGAAGCAAAGTTGTAGGAGAAAACTACAGAAAAGACCAGAGGAATTAAAAAAAAAAAAAAAAAGAAAGAAAAGAAAACAGAATTATGAATTGCAAGTAGTGTAAGAGATTATTCAGAGAAATAAAAGAGGTATAGAGTGAAATCAGGAGCTCTGGTGGCATAGTCCCTAAGAGAGTTGACTGCTAACCAGAAGGCTGGCGGTTCAAACCCACCAGCCACTCCTGGGAAGGAAGACTGGGCAATCTAAAGATATTACTTCCTTGGAAACCCAAGGAGGGGGTCACTATGAGTTAGAATCTACTTGATGGCAGTGGCTTTGGTTTTGGTTTTGGATAGAGTGACACAAGGGAAGACTTCTTTTAAAAGTGCACACTACATTAAGACTGACACTAGTGATGCTCACTAACTGGCAGAGAGAGAAAGAAAGAAGGCATTTCTACACTGGAGATTGCAAATGAGCAAAGGCAGGAGATTCTAAAAAAGCAGGAGAGCTACAGAAGGTCCCATAACTGAGAATAAGCTAAAGTGACCAGGGTGCCATGGCCTATTACCCCAAGGTGTTGACAAAGCTGGGGCCACATAAAGACATTTCAGTGGCCCTAATGATTAAACGGGAGCTCTGGTAGCATAGTGGCTAAGGCACTTGACTGCTAACCAGAAGGCTGGCGGTTCAAACCCACCAGCCACTCCTCGGAAGGAAGGTTGGGCGATCCTACTTCCGTAGTGATATTGCCTCGGAAACCCAAGGAGGGGTCGCTATGAGTCAGGGCTGACTCGACGGCAAATAACAACAACAACAATGATTAAACAAAAGTCTACTCTTTCAAATTATGAAGATTACCCCAAGACACACACACAAGCATTCCTGACTCCTCCTTACCTTTCCCATAGAAGAATTTGCGGTAGTAGTAGGCCCCAAGGTCAATGTGCTCTATGATGTAGCGCTTCACTTTCTCCCTATGAATCGGCTGGTTCTCTCTTGGCACTTCCAAAACTGAGACACCTGCATTTGTACAGTGAGAGCTGAGAGATGATTCAAAGGAGCAGCTTTCCCCAGAACTGAAAGATGATGAGTTGGCTCTAGAAAGAGCAATCCTTCTGTCACCTTCCCCTCCTGTCTCATTTCTAAAATAAGGACAACTCAGGACAAGATCATTACTCTTCCCATCACCCTCATCAGCATCCAGGTTCTCTTTTGAGTTAAGGTCCTCCTTGCTCCCCAAAGGGGACTCACAGTTGCCTGTCTGGCCTGTTGGCATCTGAGTCTGGGATGCTGCAGAAGCCCCAGTGGTTATGTTTTTCCTTTTCCCCACGTTAGCCCTTATTGCCATGGCTTCATTGATATTAAACAAAATGCTCTGGACATCATAATGTGCAAAACATCTTTGACAATGCCAAGGGCAAACTCCCCTTTCCAGATGACTCTCCTCCATATCAGATGTCAATTTGAAAGCCTCATGTTCACTTTTCACAGTTCGCAGCTTTCGGAAAAGGGATGTTTCCACCGACTCTGACTTTAACCTCCGTGTGAAAGGCTTTTCCCGGTCTCTCCCCATTAGAAACGTACTGTCCATGTAGTCTAATCCTGAGATTCGGACAAACTCTCCTCTAGAAATCTGTGCTGCTGCATGAAGGCTAGGAGAGACTGTAGGATCACAGGGGAAGAATTCAGGGAACCCAAAAGGGACCACTGCTTTGTGGTCATAATTTTCTACTCGGTATCCTCTAAGCATAGCAAAAAAGTTTTCCCCAGATAAACCCTGTCTATCAATTGAAGATGTACTTCCATATTCCCTGTGGAGGGCTGCCCCAGTGTTAGGATTTACTGCATTTTGGTCTAAGACATCTTCAGCATCAATGTCGCTGATGGTGACATCACTATTGCTTCTCTGTCTTATGGGGTGAAGTCCTCTTTGAGGAGAATGCACGAAGATGTCACCAATTGTATATTTTGCATCCACAAATTCCAGATCAAGTTGATCCTCTTGCTGACCATCACTCTGGTCATTTTGTCCATTCTGCATGACAGATGTGACACTTTCATAACTGGTTTGGGAATGGCTTTTCCACAGTCCCTTGCAGGCTAGCTCCTTGGAGCAATCCTTTTTAGGAGGCCATTCAGACACTCTTGCTCTCACACCCATTTTGGGTACTGGTGGGGTGCCATTAGCAGGACCACCACTATCACTGGAATTTGGTGCATTTAAAGAAGGAGGAGGTCCCATGTTGCCATTAATGGCTTTAAATTTCCGAGCAAAATAATCATCAGACTGCATGATTCTGGAAGGATCGTTAAACTTTGAAGAGGCTCTGCTAAGCTTGTGTTTCTCTTCTTGTGACTGCCTTGGGTCACTCATGTTTACCGAGGCAAGTGAGTCTCACTAGAAAGACTGGTCCAATTCTAATTACATTGCTATTTACAATGTGATATTAAATGCAGATACACTGAAAACGTCTATAGTCTTAAGAAGCCCTGGTGGTACAGTGGTTAAGCACTCAACTGCTAACCAAAAGTCGGTGGTTTAAACCCACAAAAGGCTCCGTGGAAGACAGATGAGACAGTCTGCTTCTGTAAAGATTTACAGCCTTGGAAACCCTACAGGGCAATTCTATTCTGCCACATAGGGTCACTATGAGTCAGAACTGACTTGACGCCAATGGGTTTGGTTTTTGTCTACAGTTGTATCTTCTCTCTTTCAACCAAAAGCAAACAACATCCTTAGAATATGATTTCTCCAAAACCAGCTCACTCCTCAGTTATTGTAATGATTTTGTACTCTTCAATTCTTTCAAATAATTTCTTAAGTCATCTGGCCACGAGTATTTCCTTCAGCTGAAATAAGACAGAAATAGTCATTAGCAATTAGCATAGGTCAAGTGAGATACATTCTACAGTATGGTTTCTTTTCCGTCCTTTTCATCTACGTATATTCACTTCCAATTCCCTCAACTGTCATGAAATTTCACATCTCTAAACTTTTGTTCATACTGTTCCTTCTCTTTGGAATACCCCTACCTTACTTCTCTACTAAGCTGGCTATAATGGCACAAAATCAAGCATCATCTTCTAAGAAACCTTCCCAGTATGTCATCTACCCTCACCCCTCATCCAAGTAAAGAGTGCTTCCTCTATGTTTCCATAGTACACATGTCTACAGCAATCACAGCATTTTTTTTATTACATAGTAAGTGCTAAATTGTTTCTCAATCTATCCCACTCACTGACTCCAAGCTCCTCTAAGTTAGGAATGTTGTCTTTCATCTGTATATCAAAATTACCTATTAATGCAGCCAGGCTAAATTAGGTACTCAAGACATATTTTAATTACTACATTAGTTATAAGAGTAGCACAAATTTCATATAGTATGTTTGTGTGGTCTCATTATACTTCCTTTCAAAATAATTAAACTCAAAATGCTCAGAAGCAAATAACAAGGATTAATATCAGGCATTAATGAATGAGTTTTCACCAGCAGTCAAATAGGAGCTTAAAGTGGGGAGGAGTCTTCAAGAACTTGGTGTCTGAAAGAGTACAACTTTTTAGTACATCATGTCACTAGCAACTTACCAAATGAACAGGATAAAATAATGCTATACAGAGGTATAAAGCATCTAATATATGTATGTGTTGGGAGAAACTGACTTAATCAACTCTTCTCTTTAATTATAAAGCCCTTCCCTTTAAGTGGACAAAATTAGTCTCAGGTATTATATATTTTCCCAACTCATGGGAATATGGGTATCTACATGTTGGCATAAGAATGAAAAGAACTATTCTACTTTCTCTGTAAATAATGATGGTAATAAAGATACAAAAGAGGCTCACCAAAACTTAAGAAAATGTTCAAATTCCAATTAGCTAAACTCAAAGACTGGCTTTGAGAATAATGTGCAGTGGTTTTTACAACAGTGGATACTTCTCTTATGATGGCAACTTGTCTTCCCCTTTGTAGGAAAAAAAAAAAAAAAACAGTCTAGGCATTACAGCATGCTGTCTATTCCCCACATCACTTTGTAATAGAGGAAATATAATGATATTTCAGGAAACAGCAAACAAAGGGGGAATAATCAGTCAGATACTTTCATGCCCAGAACAGAGAAAACTATCCCACCCTTCTCAGAAAGAGAAAATAATTTACTGCATCTTATCTATTTCACTTACAACTATTGGGTTTAAAAGGGTCATAGATGATTCTACAATGTATTTACTTTTTATACAAATTCAGGTTACTACCAAATCCTTTCTTGGAAACTAAAAAAGTGACAACTGAGGTAAAAAAGAAAAGAACTTCTTCCCTAATACCTATTGAAATGGTATTTGATTGACAGTACTAGTACTAGTCTCTAACATAAGCTATACATTCTATTCACAGTTTTGTAGTTCTTAAAAACATTTAAGAAAATGTTAAAGATTAAAAATTACCTGCAATGTTTAGAATACAGGTAAGTGAATCCTCAATAACTATTAATACAATACTCATATTCAGTTATATAGTGTTAATCTGTAGACATCCTATGCACCAAAGGAAGAACCCTGCTCTACTTAGTACTCAGTACCAATTTACTGAACTATGTACTTTCTAGAAATATAATCAGTAACAAAGTACTCACCACCTTAAGAAATTAGAATAACAAAATGTACCAAAAGAAATCAGGAAAGGGGTAATGACCAAAGACAAAAGTTGAAATTAATAAGGGGGGAAAAAAAGTAAAGAAAACAAATTCAAAAGCCAGTTTTTGAAAAGAACAAAAAAATAAGATACATCCCTCCCGAAACCTAAAAAAGGAAAAGGATGAAAGAACAAAATATACAGTTTTAGAAATAAGACATGAGAAATGACCACTTATTCAAGGAGAAATTATAATAAATATAAGTCTAAAAGATTTATTCCATAAGCAACTCTATGGCAAAAAAGAAAATCCAGAGGCAACTGAGATACTTCCTAGCAAAGCAAATATTTCCAAAAGTGATCCAAGAATGAAAAACTAACATTGAAGAAAACAAAAATATAACCAGTCTCTAAATTAATAAATGATACAAAAATATATGCACATAGTACCTAAGGCACTTGACTGCTAACCAGGAGGCTGGCAGTTCAAACCCACCAGCCACTCCTCGGAAGGAAGATGGGCAATCTACTTTCTTAGTGATACTACCTCGGAAACCCAAGGAGGGGTCGCTATGAGTTGGATCCGACTCGATGGCACATAGCAACAACAACAACATGCAAAGAACCATCATAACTTTTAGTTTGAAACGTTTTCCATTTATGAAATAAAACAAATATTATCTAAAATATTTAGGATTTACCAATCTTCCTTCACGTCAGTGATCTCCCACCTTTTTCACATCATGGAACACACTAAAAGAGCCAACATTTGAATAGTGCATGGGGATCAACTCAGGAAAATATGCAAGGCCATAGACTCTGGCTACCTTAGGCCCAAGGCTACCACCTTGAGAGCTGAGCAAACACTACATCCACACATCTGTACCTCAGTCACAACACACACATTGAGAGGCTTTAAGTCAATGTCACTTAGCATTAGATGGGTAAAAAATATTAAAATTAGGATTTTGGAAATGGACAGAGAGGGTTGCATAAGATGAATATAAATGACACATAAAAATGGTTGAAATGACAAATGTTTTGTTAAATATATCTTACAAGAAAATTTAAATGAATAAATAGATAGATAGATAGACAGGATTAGCAAGGACAATGCAGACACGTATTTGAGCACCTCTGTTCTGAGCATTCACGTTCCTCTACATTTTTAACTGCCTTATTGTTTAAAAGACATTATTAAAAAGACAAAATGTTAAATATATAGATCTACCACAGAAACTGAAGACATCAATATATTGCCAAAAGGAGTTATTATTTTAAGATATAAATAACAGAAGCTATTCAAATAAATGAAATTGCACACAAATGCAAGTCATTAATAATAGCAGAACTGTATAGGGGCAGAAAGTAAGTACATAAGAACTCTCTGCATTTTCCCTAGAATTCCACTATAAATCTAAGGCTATTAGAAAAAGTAGTATATAAAAAATAGATTAGTTTGTGCTGAATTTTATTTTGAGGTCTACCAAAAGGACAAACCCTACAGTAAACTCAGTATAGTGTACCTTTTGTCAGAGAAGTCTTCTGAGAATATTCCCTCAGTTATCATTCCTTATATTTTTGTGATAGAAACATTGGCTTTAGTGGACAGCTGTTATTTCACTGCTAAGGCTCCATTCCACCACTCCTCTGTCATTCTGTTGTACTGTGGCAGTTTGTGTGCTGCTAGAAGCTATACCAGCAGTATTTCAAATGTCAGAGAGGTCACTGAAGGTGGACTATTTTCAACAGTGCTTCCAGATTAAGACAGTCTGAAAAAAATGACCTGCCAATGAACTTTTGAAAAACTGGTCAGTGAAAACCTGATGGATAGCAATGAAAAACCATCTGACATAGTGCCAGACGATGAGACTACCAAGTTGGAAGGCACTCAAAATACGACTGGGGAAGAGTTGCCTACTCAAAGTACTGACCAATGCCATCAAGTTGATTCTGACTCACAGTGATCCTATAGGAAAGAGTAGAGTTGCCCCACAGCATTCTAATGCTGCAAATCTTTATCTTTTTTTTTTTTTTTTGGTCTCATCTTTCTCCCACAGAGTGGCTAGTAGGTTCTAATCACCCACCTTTTAGTTAGCAGCCTGATGTTTTAACCACAGTGTCACAGAGATGCTCTCAAAGTAGAGTCAACCTTACTGACGTGAATAGAACAAAGCTTTCGGGTTCCTCATCTTCTGATGTGACATGATTCAAAATGACATGAAACAACTGCAAAAATCCATTAATTATCAGAATATGGAATTATGAATCTAGAAGACTGGAAGTTGTCAAAAATGAAATGGAATGTATAATAATAGATATCCTAGGCATTAGCGAACTGAAATAGACTAGTATTAGCCATTTTGAATTAGGTAAACATATGGTCTACTATGCCAGGAATGAAAAACTAAAAAGGAAATATGTCACATTCACTGTCAAAAACATCTATCCTGAATTACAAAGATGTCAATGATAGGTTAATACCAGTACAACTCCAAAGAAGACCAGTTAATAGGACTATTACTCAAATTTACTCACCAAACACTAAAGCCAAGAAATCAAAGACTTTTATCAACTTCTACAGTCTGAAATTGATCAAATATGCAATCAAGATGCACCGATAATTACTGGTGACTGAATGCAAAAGACAGAAACAAAGAAGACCAGTATTTCAAAAATATAGTCTTGGTGACAGAAACAAAGCTGGAGATCACATGCTGTAATTTTGCAAAAGCAACAACCTATT